TGAATCAAAACACAAATGAACAAATAGATGATCCAATGGAGGGTGAGCACTTGGAATCAAATACTTTTGTTGAGGGGGAGCATTATAATGAAAGAGATAACATGTCAACAAATGTTAGTGTCGATGAGGAGCAATTTAATGAAGAAGAACCGATCAATGAACCAGAGAAAAATATTGAATCAGAGTCAATCATCGAGGGGGAGCAGATACGAGAGAATGATCCAATTCTTGAAGAAGAACATTTTGATGATGCTGATGATTCTATTTCTATAAATGGATCAGAAACAGATGTAATGTTCGAAGATGCACTTTTGGATTTTGATCCTAATTATCCACCATTGGATAAATGGGCAAGAAATCATCCAAAGGATCAAATTATTGGTGATCCACAAGCAGGAATCATGACGAGAGCACAACTTCATGCACGAAATGAGGTACTGAACAATCATCAAGAGTATTGCATGTTTAATGTTTTTATTTCCAAAATTGAACCAAAGATAATTAAGAATGCAATGGAACACTCTGATTGGATTGTTGCTATGCAAGCTGAATTGTCTGAATTCGAAAGAAACAAGGTTTGGAGATTAATTCCAAAGCCTAATGATGTGTCAGTTGTTGACTTAAATGGATTTATAAAAACAAAACTGACAAAGATGGAAACATTATTCGAAATAAGGCCAGACTTGTTGTTAAAGGCTATTCTCAACAAGAAGGAATTGATTACGAAGAAACATTTGCCCCTGTCGCAAGACTCGAGGCTGTTCGTATTTTCCTGGCTTTTGCAGCTCATAAAGATTTTGATGTCTATCAAATGGACGTCAAATGTGCATTCTTAAATGGAGAACTCAAAGAAACAGTATATGTTGAACAACCTCCAGGTTTTATAAACTCTGAGCATCCTGATCATGTTTATATTTTAAATAAAGCTGTATATGGGTTAAAACAAGCACCAAGAGCATGGTATGCAACTCTTACAGCATTTTTGAAGTAATCTAAATCTAAACAAGGTTCAGTTGATCCCACTTTATTTCGAACGAAAATTGGGAATCATCTGATGCTTGTTCAAATTTATGTTGATGATATAATTTTTGGCTCAACTGATCCTGCTTTATCTAAAGAATTCGAAGATTTGATGAAAAGCAAATTTGAAATGAGTATGATGGGCAAAATTAATAATTTTTTGGGTTTAAATATTAGACAAAACAGGGAAGGCATATTCATCAATCAAGAGAAATACACGAAGAATCTGTTGGAAAAGTTTGGAATGATGAATAGCACAAGGTTACGAATACCAATGGCAACAAGCATAAAGCTAACTCCTTCGTTAGATAAATCTGCTGTTGATATTACTTTATATCGAAGCATGATTGGGTCTTTATTGTACTTAACTTCACGTAGACCTGATATTATGTACTCGGTTTGTAATTGTGCTAGGTAACAATCAAATCCAAGAGAACCACATCTCACAGCAGTAAAGAATATTTTCAGATACTTAAAAGGCACTACTTCGTTAGCATTGTGGTATCCTTCGAAAACAGGGTTCTTTGTCCAAGATAATTCAGATGCGGATCTTGGAGGATGTAGTCTTGATCGTAAAAGCACAACTGGTGGGTGTCAATTGTTAGATGGAAAGCTGGTCAGCTGGCAATCGAAGAAGCAAACATGTGTGTCAATATCAACAGCTGAAGCTGAATATGTTGCTGCAGCTGCGTGTACATCACAAATAATTTGGATTCAAAGTCAATTAAGAGATTATGCAATTAATATGAAAAAGATTCCTTTATATTGTGATTCACAAAGTGCAATAAGAATTTGTCATAATCCTGTGCAGCATTCAAAGACAAAGCATATTGCTCTTCGATATCATTTCATCAAAGATCATGTTGAAGAAGGCAATATTGAAGTTCAGTTTGTGAAAACAACGGATCAATTAGCAGATATTTTTACAAAGGCTTTGGATGAAAAAGCGTTTCTTCGGATATTAGACGGTTTGGGAATGATTGATGGAAATTCTCTTCGGACCACTAAAAACGAAGGGTGATAGTCTGAGTCATTTGGTGAATGGGTGGAAAGAATGATTAAGTGTTCAGAGGCTACTGTTCATGGTCAACACTTCGAACGCTTCGCATTCAGAAGTTTCTAACAAATCATTAGAGGTTACTATTCAAGTCAACGCTTCGAATGCTTCGTATTCGGGATATTTTCAACACACTTCAACTAAGGTTAGATTTGTTTTTAATTTTTTGAAAAATCTGAAAAATCAAAAATATTTTCCTTAATTTTTGTTCTTTAATTTTGAAAAATCAAAAATCCAAAAAGATTTTATTTTTGTTCTTTAAATTTGAAAAATCAAAAATCCAAAAACATTTTATTTTTGTTCTTTAATTTTGAAAAATCAAAAATCCAAAAAGATTTTAATTTTTGTTCTTTCGTTTTGAAAAAGTCAAAAATCACAAAAAATATTTTTGTTTTCTTTGTTCATCAAATTGTGTGTGCTGAGAATTTAATACAGGGTAACAATGCGAAGAGGTTATACATTTGTGTTTCTGTGGGAAAGTATTAAATTTCTTTTACAAACTAGTTAGGATGTCCCTAGAAGCATGCTGCTGTATGTAGACCAAAAGCCTCAACATGACTCTATGTGTGTCAAGAAAGCCTTAATGAAATTATCTCAAGAAAATTTCTTCCCAAAAAGGCTTATATTTGCATAAGTCAAAATGAGCTACCTTACTCTTCTCAAATGAGTTAAGAGTTTTCTGTTTTGTTCATTATAACAGAGGTACACTTCGATTCTTATCCAATCTTTTTAATCCAAACAATTCTTTCAATCCAAAATTATTTTTTAAAATGATTTGTCCTTGAGGTATTTGGTCAAACCAATCAAAACCTAGACAACTCACAATTCTGTGTTTAAGATCTAACACCATGAGTCCGTGATGAAAGTGAAACCCAAAACTCATACACCTTTAAGGAATTGACGGGGGACTATGTTCTAGATCTTACGAAGCTTTTGCTTCAGTACCTTTTATACTCCGAATCATATTCATTTCTTTTGAGTGATCTTAATCAAACATTTGAAAACAATGATGTTTGTTCCCAAATAGATCCAGCATAATTTTTTTTATGAATATGATTTCCGTGTGAGTATATTTTCAAAATCTTTGTTACTTTGAATATCATTCGCAACCAAGTTGTCACTGACTACACTGGTCATACAACTAATTTTGTTTACAATTACTCACCTTATTTTAAGGTTGATATGTAACAAAATTTTCGAAGCCACCAAATGTGTCCAATAAAAGAAACCCTTCGAAACTTCTTTACAAGTTATCGATTGTATTTCACGGGAAACCACACAAGCTGTCAATTATCTCTCTTGATAATTTTCGAAGATATCTTTGCCTGGGATAACATTGCTTTTATGTCAAAGAAATTATTGACATCACGAGTTTTCAAAAGTTTTTTTTTCTTTGCTTATCATCTAATTTCTGTTGGCACACAGCACACACAAAATCCTTGAGGTTTGAGTAACACCAACTTAAACTGATGATTTCGAAACTCTGGCAAATGAATTCGCTTTTTAAACCCCAAAGTGAAAGAGCCTGACCTCCATTCCGAAGGCATCCGACGGTTACAATTTTTTGGGGAACACCAAACGGTCCTATCTCTTGATGACGTATGATGTAGGATAAGCGTGAAAGGCGTATTGACAGTTATGATTGTTACTTTTTGATGAGTGCATTTCGGGTTTCAAGGTGCCATGTCAGCAAGCATTTAATGCATCCCGCTTCAAATTCAAAAATTCTAGGGTTACATATAAAGGGGAACGTTACAACTTCATAATCCTTTACGCAAATAATCTTCTTCATAAAAACAAAAACTTTCTCTGCAAATCATCTTCTTCACACAGTTCTTTTCTTCAACTCATCTTCAATGGCAGATACTTCATCACCAACCACTGACGAGATCATCAGTGTTCCAATCTTGAAGATCCAGGGTTCAAACTATCAAGTAGAATCGGATTTGTCGAAATATCCGGAAGAACTAAAGATGCTGGTGGTTGCTTTACAGAACTCTGTTCTGTCTAAAGCCATGTTTCAATCGTTTGTTGCACCAATGTCGTGGTTATCGAAGGCCGGTTCTACAGCTTCCTACAACAAAGAAATCGGGTGTGTCGAATTCACCATGGTTACTAATACGCGAATTAGGGTTTCCAAAAGATTATTTTGCAAGATTTTGGGAATTCCAAATTCTGGTCCATACGATGAACTCACGTCTTCGCAAGTAATATACATGTTCAATGAGATGGGTCACCAACCTCCATTGACATGTATAAGTGATTTCAAGAAGTCAGGTTTACCAACCATTTGGAATTTTTTATTTGGAATCTTCCTCAGATGTCTTACTGGAAGAACGGTGGGCTTAGACAAAGGTAGAATGGAGATATATGCAATGGTTGCAGGGCTTTACTATGACTTACAGGTGGATTACTCTGAGCAGTTGTGGGCCGAATTTATTACAAGCATTTCGAAAATGAGTGCCAAACAGGGAATTTCTTGTGCCAGATATTGGAGTTTGATTGTCCAATATGTATATCAGAAGGAAAAGATCGAGGTACCGGGTTCCGAAGAAAAAGCTGTATTCCACATGTACGGGAGTCCGAAGGAAGTACGTGACGATCCGGCAATTTTTACCTCAATAGCCAGAATTCCAGATGCAATGTTAAAGAAGGTGGATCCTACGAACAAAGTGTTGGTGTCATACTTACAATCAATTGACACAATAGTTGTGACTGGGAAGTTACAACAAGAAGCCACCAAAAAGACGAAGAAGTCCAAGAAGACGAAAGGGGACTCTTCGGAAAAAGGGTTAAAAGACGAACAACATCAAGCACTCATTGGTCCTTCCAAAACTATCAAAAAGGTGTCTCCGGTCTTGACATCAATTTCTGATGCACCAGTCTTTGAAGCCTCTCCATAAAAGGAAACGATTCCTTCGAAATGGGAGTTTTTCGAAGAATCAAGATCAAGCGAAAGTCTCAGTTGGTGAAGAAAACGCAGGTTACTCATCAAGGGGTTACAGTTCGTGAAGTTCCAGCTCCTGTGTCTCCATCTTCGAAAAAGAGAAGGGCTGAAGAAATGGCAAAGTTCTTGAAGAAACCCAAACTTGTCGAAGATGAAGAACTTGTGCCTGAAACTCCTGAAGCTGATATTCCAAAAGAAGTCGAAATCTTTCAATCTACTGAGATTTCGAAACCTGCTGACGTCAAGAATCTAGAATCAACGACTCTACCACAGGCTACTTCTACCATCGATTCTCCTACATTCCAATCTATCATGAATCAACCCTTCACCACCATTTTTTCAACACAGTCCACTGAACCACCACAATCTTTATCACCGATTGCTGAAATAATGGCAATTGATGAAGAAACTGACAACGAAGGGTTTGGGGAAACTTTCGAAGATCTTTCTTTTGATAAATCAGAAGAAGATTTCCCGGATCATATGATAATGACGATGAAGCCGTTCAAGATTTTGAATTCCAAATTGAATTCAATCTTACAATCTCAAGCAGATGTCGGAAATGCTGGTATCAATCTTTTGCAAGTTGATTCATTGATGAAGGAGACGGAAAACAGGCTGCTATCGAAGAATTCAGGGCTCATTCGTGATTCAGAAAGCCGGATTTTAGAAAAAATTGATCAGTCTGATAGTTCTACTGAGAATAGAATCAAGTTTCTAAGAACTGATTTTTTGAAGGAAGTTAAAGATTTGAGGATGTTTACGAAGGAGCGTCATGTGCTCTTCGTACAGGAGGTGAAGAAGGTTAGAGAGGATGTGAATATGCAGATTAGAGAACTTCGTGAAGAAATGACTAAAGAAGTTCAAACTCTTAACCAGGGGTATGATTCTGCACATCAGAAGATTGACATCATTTGTGATGTTGTTGTTCAGTGTGTCAAGAGGTTTGAACCGCTCAAATCACAGATGACTTCTCTGTTAGCAACAGAAGTTCAACATTTCGGAGAATTGGTGAATCTAATGAAGGAACTCAAAGAAATCTCTTCGAAATCCTCTTCTTCGATTATCTCTCAAGAGTATCTATCTCAGAAATTTCTTCATTTCGAAGCCATTCTTCAAAAGCATCTTACTCCGCTACTTCGCATCTCAAGCCTATTGCCAAGTATATCAGATGCCCCACCTGCTGTCAAAGGGGTGCAAGAGGGAGAAAAGAGTGTTCAAGAAAAGGCTGGGGAGCATGAGATGAAACCAGAAGATTCGAAGGCTCCAGTCAAACCAACAATTGTTTCAGCCGCTCCAGTCATTTCGACTATGACTACAACGATTCCGATTTCAATACCTAGTACAAAAGGTATTGTAATTGGGAATGTTGTTTCTTCGAATGTTTCTTCTTCAAAGGGTGCTGCTCCTTCAAATGAGAAAGAGAAAGGAAAAGGAATCTTGATTGAGAAGACAAACAAAGAAAAGAAAGCTGAGGTGGCAACTGAAATAGAACGAATGAGGCATGTGGAGAGCATTATGCGACAAAGAGCTCTTGAAGGTTCGAATGTCAACATGGGAGATCCTTCGAAAGTTTTCAACTATGAAACTATCGAATCAAGAGTGATGTTTGACCATATGTATTCTTTTGAGAAGATTCCTAAGAAGAGTTATGTAGTGACAAACACTGATTATGGGAAACTCGACTTTCCAATTAATGAGATGATGTTCATCATGCCACAGTTTAAAGCAGAGTCAAAGAATATGGATGTCGAAGAAGGAAAGAAGATGAAAATTCGATTTCATGCTGTATTAGCTAAAGCTCAAGAAGAAGTCTGGTATTCGGAGAAGATTAAGAAGGTGATATCCATAAAAAGGGATGTCATTTTCGAAGGAAAGTTTGAGAACTTGAAATATGTTGTGTCAAGAGCAAGTGGAAAGATACAAGAGTTCACCATAGCTGACTTTCCGTTGATGAACACTTACGATCTCATCAATACTGCGTTGATTCTCAAAGACAAGTCTTTTTCTTATCTTCAAAAAACAGAACCTGATGTCTTTAGTCTTGCGTGTAGGCATATAAAAGTTTTCTTGGAAAATTATTTTGAATGTCTAGCTCAAACTGATATCGAGCTTGCTACTGTCAAAGGCATTGACATCACTGTTCCAATGGCTCCTACAAAGAAGCAGGTGGAATTGAAAAAATTCGAAGACGGTGAAATTTGTTTAAAACCGTTGGGGATAGTCTTCGCTGGAAAAGACAAATCTGGAAAGGCCAAGAGATTCTTGTTTCAAACCTCTGAAGTAGAAAGATATACAAATTCGCAATATACGAACTTAATTGTTCGTATGAATCATTGCAAGAAGAATTCAGAAGGAGACAAGAAAGAGATAAAGAAAGTTATCTCTTGGTACATGGAAATTCGAAGGGTACTGATGTATGCTATACAACTACTTACTTCATGAAGACTTCGACCTTTATTCCAAAGGGGGAGATTGTTAGGGTTTGTATTGTAATATGTCGAAGTATTGTTTTTGTTACGAAGAGTTGTTAGTCTTCGTAAGTTGTGTCTTCGAATGTAACGTTATAATTACTAAGGCATTTTATCTAAGCTTTAATGTCTAGTCCTTAGTAGTTTATTATGCTTTTTTACGCCTATAAATAGGAGTCTGTACAATGTGAGAAGAAGAGACTTTCACACACTTTACAGAGAATTCTATTATACTCTGTAAATCAGAAAGCATAATATGAGCTTATCAAAGATTATATTTACTCTCTTGTTCATCGTGATTCTTCTTTCTTAATTCTAACATAAATTGATCTTTAAACTCGATTATAAATCTCTTCAATAAGTAATTGGGTGTTGTGTACTACGGTTAAACCTGGGCAGTTATGTAGTCGTGTCTAGGGTCAATACAGCCTGACCAACTCTATTCATTCGCGACACGGCCAACATGTGCTTGGGAGTGACTGTGGTGTGCGGCATGCCTAAAACTTACCCTAATATCCCAAACATCAAACCAATGTCGTAATCAAATCATGAAATACTATGGGGGTATTTCTCGATCCAATCCTCTGTAGAGATCCTCACTCTAGTGGCGTTCTGTGATCATTCTTAGCGATAAATTATCTGTTTTGATGACTCTTTCCTGCTTTATCGCTTATTCGGAGCATATAACTGCCATATCTATCAATTCAATGTAGAGGACTTACCATCCTCTCTCTTTCTTGATCTTATTAGATCAAGATGCCTCCCAGAAAGAGACCCAGCTCAAAGAACAACAACAATGCTTCTTCGCCACCACCTCCTCCTCAATTTGACCTTGCATCACTCCAGACAGTCCTAACTGCTGCAATGGTGGCAGCCATGTCACAAGTGAACCCTGGTGGCTCAGAAGGTGGCCCCCAATCCTAGAACCCCGAAGTTAGCTAGGGACACCAAAAAGGGGGTTCCTATAAGGATTTCATGAACGCGAAACTAACATCCTTCAATGGCGCTGGAGGTGTCATTTCCTTGTCCTGATGGTTCGAGAAAATCGAATCCATCTTCGAAATCTGTGCCTGTGCGGAGTCCGATAAAGTCAAATTCGCAGCCTGCACCTTTGTTGATAAAGCCTTGACTTGGTGGAATGGTCGAGTCAAATCCCTGACCCTACCCGTAGCCAATGCCATGGGCTGGGAAGCCATGAAAGAACTCCTCATTGCTGAGTACTGTCCCCGTGGTGAAATGCAGAAACTAGAGCACGAGCTCTGGAACCTGAAGATGAAAGGTTCTAAAATTGCTGCATACACTTCCCGATTCGATGATCTCGCACTTCTCTGCCCGGGATTAGTCACTCCTGAAAACAAAAAGATCGAAAGGTTCATTTGGGGGTTATCCCAACCGACAAAGAGTCATTTTTTGGCTGCTCGTCCGGATACCTATGATAGCGCCAAGACTTTAGCCCAAACCCTGATTGATCACAGTGATGATGTTAAGGAAATCACTACCACTTCTGAGCCGACCCAAAGGAGTGGTGAAAAGAGGAAATTCTGGAAGAAGAAGAAGGGTCAATCTTCTCAAGGATCTTCCAAGAAACAGCAGACTGTAGTAGTCCATGCTGCTACTACCCCTATTGCTGCTGCTTCTGTTGTAGGATCCACAGCTCCAACTCCTACCAGTAGTATGTTGGTAATCTTCCTCTGTGTGAAAAATGCAAATACCATCACAATCCTGGTCCCTGCCGAGAACTATCATGTACCAACTGTGGTAAGAAAGGGCACACAGTTCGATTCTACAAAACTCCTACCCAATCAGCCAACCAATCATCTGGAGCAGGTGTTAGTTAAGCCTGCTACAACTGTGGAGAAGTTGGGCACTTTAAAAGGAACTGTCCCAAGAATTCAACTGTTGATAACACCGGAAGGGTTCTAACCATGGGACGAGAGGAAGCAGTCGCCGATCCCACTGTTGTTTCGGGTACGTTCCTTCTCGACAACTCATATGCTAGTATTCTTTTCGATTCGGGTGCTGAAAGGATTTTCGTTACTCATGCATTCAAACATAACCTAAAACGTAATCCCCAACCACTAACTGAAACGTTTACCATCGAGATGGCTAACGGTGAGAACGAAAGCGCTAACGATGTATTCATAGGTTGTACACTTACCCTAAATGACCACTCATTTCCTATAGATTTCATGCCAGATTTCATTAAGAGCTTTAATGTTATCATTGTCATGGATTGGCTGAGTCCCAATCATGCTGATATCCTTTGTTACGAAAAAGCCATCCATCTCAACCTTCCCTCGGATCAAACTCTCGTAATCTATGGCGATAAACCCAGTTCCAATATTCATATCATTTCTTGCATCAAAGCTCGAAAGCTCCTACGAAAGGAGTGCATTGCATTCTTAGCCCATGTAATCAACGAGAAACAAGAAGTTAAAGACCTCGCGAGCATCCCCGAAGTCTGTAACTTTCCTGATGTGTTTCCCGAAGAGCTTCCAGAAACTCCTCCCGAGCGTCAGGTCGAGTTTCGTATTGACCTAATTCCTAGAGCTACTCCCGTAGCGAAGTCTCCGTATCGTTTAGCTCCAGCAGAAATGCAGGAGTTATCCAGTCAACTCAATGAGTTGCTCAGTAAAGGATTCATTAGACCGAGTTCCTCACCCTGGGGAGCTCCATTACTGTTTGTCAAGAAGAAAGATGGATCCTTTCGAATGTGTATCGACTATCGTGAGTTGAACAAGTTGACCGTTAAGAACCGTTATCCTCTCCCACGAATATATGACCTCTTCGATCAACTACAGGGAGCCTGCTACTTCTCAAAGATAGACCTTCGGTCAGGGTACCATCAGTTACGAGTTCAGAAGAGTGATGTTTCCAAAACAGCTTTCAGGACTCGGTATGGACACTACAAATTCGTAGTGATGCCATTCGGTCTAACCAATGCACTGGCTATGTTCATGTATCTAATAAACCGGGTGTGCCATCCCTTCCTAGAAAAGTTCGTCATCGTGTTCATTGACGACATCCTCGTCTACTCCCGAAGCGAAGAAGACCACAAACAACACTTGAGGTTAATGTTGGAGACCCTTAGATCCGAGAAGCTATACGCGAAATTCTCCAAGTGTGAATTCTGGATACGGAAGGTAACTTTCCTCGGTTACGTGGTAAGCGAAGAGGGTATTCACATTGATCCTTCCAAGATTAAAGCGATAGAGAATTGGTCGGCACTGAAGCCACCCATAGAAATTCGTCAATTCTTGGGTCTCGCCGGCTATTATCGGAGATTCATCCAGAATTTTTCCAAAATCGCCAAAACTTTAACCACTCTAACACAGAAAGGTGTACCCTTTTGTTGGAGTGATAAACAAGAAACTGCATTCCAAACGTTGAAGAGAGCCTTATGCAGCGCGCCTGTTCTGTCTCTACCCGAAGGGACAGAGGACTTCGTGGTCTACTGCGATGCGTCTAATCAAGGCTTAGGATGTGTGCGTATGCAAAGAGGAAAAGTGATTGCTTATGCCTCAAGACAGCTGAAAGCACACGAGGTCAACTATACCACACATGACTTAGAACTAAGAGCCGTAGTCTTTGCATTGAAGATTTGGAGACATTATCTCTACGGAACCAAGTGCACGATCTTCACTGATCACAAGAGCCTGCAACACATCTTTGATCAGAAAGACTTGAACATGAGGCAACGGCGATGGGTAGAACTACTCAGTGATTATGAGTAGGGATGAGCATATGGACCGGGGAACCGGCCGGAACCGGTACCGGAACCGGAACCGGCACCGGAACCGGAACCCGATGGAACCGGTCGGGCCGGGACCGGGACATTATTTTTGTGGATATTTGGAACCGGGAACCGGTAGGAACCGGAACCGATATAACCGGAACCGGCAAAAACCGGTAGAACCGGCAAAAACCGGAACCGTATGCTATTTTTCAAGGACCGGTTCCAACATTTGAAGACACGACAAGAACTGGTAGGAACCGGGAACCAGTGGAACCGGAACCGGTAGAACCGTCGGGCCGGTTCGGTTCTTAATTTTGGCCGAAGCCGGTTCCCGGTTCCGGTCCGGTTCGGGCCGGTTCCGACCGGTTCGGTTCTTTTGCTCATGCCTAATTATGAGGGTGAAATCCATTACCATCCCGGCAAGGCCAATGTGGTAGCAGATGCCCTTAGCCGAAAGGAAAGTGCAGGCCACAAAGTGAAGAACCAGACGATGATTATCCATTCCAACTTACCCATGCAAATCCAAGAAGCCCAGTTAGAAGCAATCAAACCTGAGAACGTGTTGATCGAAACCTTGAGAGGAACGGAAAAGAAACTTGAGATCAGAGGTGACGGAGTCTATTGTTTCATGGATCGGATCTGGATTCCAAAGTTCGGAGGATTCAGGGATATTGTTATGGAGGAGGCACACAAAGCTAAATACTCTGTTCACCCGGGTTCTGACAAGATGTACCTGTTGGATTAGTGTCTAAGTCCATAACTATTTTGGTATGTACTTGACCCGATGGTGCATGGTCCTTTTGGGTTGCCTTCACCAAAGCAACTTGATAGGATGATTTATGGAGAGTAAGGATTAAATATGATTTATTAATGTATTATGAGAATAATATATTAAAGGAGAAATCATATTGTTTAATTAATATTAGTCAATAATTAATTGGTAATTAGTTTTGTGACTAAAAGAGATTAATTAAACTTAAGGGACTGGAATTGTAATTATAGGATAATTGCAATTTGGGCCATGGATTGCCTTGTATTAAGGGATGGACGAATTCTAATAGGAAACCCATAAGGAAATCGTCCATGGGCTTAATTAAAGGAGTCTATGGGTTGCTTAGGGCTTAAGCATCCAAATTAGGGTTTCCTTGTTAGATAACCCTAATAGCCCAACTATATAAAGACCCCTTAAGGCTCAAAAACGTGGCTAAGCTTCTTGTAAGGGTTTCTACACGTTTTTGGCAGCCTCCATCCTTCTCCTCTTCATCCTCTTGCTTATGGTGTTTGTGAACCATTAGAGGAGTGACACTTGTGACTCTAAGCCTTCCAAAGTCAATTCAAGGAGATTTGGATTGTTATTGCTACATAACAATCAAGGTAATACTATAAACTTATTCTCATGTTAATATGATTATATGTATGCTAGAATTAGGGTTTATAGTCTTGGATTCAAAGCATGTACAATAGAGAAACCTAGATCCAAGCATTAGGGTTTGTATGAGCACATAGGATGTCTTATGAC